GTCTCTACAACATTGCGTGGTCATCGGGGGCAGTTCCTAGGGAGTGGCAGACCGGGGTGGTGGTCCCCATCTTTAAGAAGGGTGACCTGAGGGTGTGTTCCAACTATAGGGGGATCACACTCCTCAGCCTCCCTGGAAAGGTCTACTCCAAGGTACTGGAGAGGAGGGTCCGATCGATAGTTGAATCTCAGATAGAGGAGGAGCAATGTGGTTTTCGTCCTGGCCGTGGAACTGTGGACCAGCTCTATACCCTTGCAAGGGTGATGGAGGGGGCATGGGAGTTTGCCCAACCAATCCACATGTGCTTTGTGGATTTGGAGAAGGCTTATGACCGTGTCCCCAGGGGCACCCTGTGGGGGATGCTCCAGGAGTATGGGGTGGGTGGCTTTCTGTTAAGGGCCATTCAGTCCCTTTACCAGAGGAGCGTGAGTTTGGTCCGCATAGCCGGTAGTAAGTCGGACCTGTTCCCAGTGAGGGTTGGACTCCGCCAGGGCTGCCCTTTGTCACCGGTTCTGTTCATCACTTTTATGGACAGCATTTCTAGACGCAGCCGTGGTGTGAAGTGTGTCGAGTTTGGTGGCAGGAGAATCTCGTCTCTGCTTTTTGCGGATGATGTGGTCCTCCTAGCTTCATCCAGCTCTGACCTTCAGCTCTTGCTGGGTAGGTTCGCGGCCGAATGTGAAGCGGCTGGGATGAGGATCAGCACCTCCAAATCTGAGACCATGGTTCTCGACCTGAAAAGGGTGGCTTGCCACCTCCGGGTCGGGGGAGAGGTCCTACCTCAAGTGGAGGAGTTTAAGTATCTCGGGGTCTTGTTCACGAGTGAGGGTAGGAGGGATCGGGAGATCGACAGGCGGATTGGTTCGGCGTCTGCAGTGATGCGGACGCTGAGCCGATCTGTCGTGGGGAAGAGGGAGCTGAGCCAGAAAGCCAGGCTCTCGATTTACTGGTCGATCTACGTCCCAATCCTCACCTATGGTCATGAGCTTTGGGTAATGACCGAAAGAACGAGATCGCGGATACAAGCGGCCGAAATGAGTTTCCTCCGTAGGGTGGCCGGGCTCAGCCTTAGAGATAGGGTGAGGAGCTCGGACATTCGGGAGGGACTCGGAGTAGAACCGCTGCTCCTCCGGATCGAAAGGAGCCAGTTGAGGTGGTTTGGGCATCTGGTCAGGATGCCTCCTGGACGCCTCCCCGGGGAGGTGTTTCGGGCATGTCCTGCCGGCAGGAGGCCCCCGGGTCGACCCAGGACACGTTGGAGAGGTTACATCTCCAATCTGGTCCGGGAACGCCTTGGGGTCCTGCCGGAGGAGCTGGTGGACAAGGCCGGGGAGAGGACGGCCTGGAGCTCCCTAGTTGGGATGCTGCCCCCGCGACCCGGACCCGGATAAGCGGAGGAAGACGACGAGACGATATATTAATCAGAAGTATTATCGCGGGCAGCCGCCGCCAATTATTTCGCGGACCTCGCAGTAAAAACAGGTTCACTCTGTGTGGATATTTCAGCTCCTTCCCAGTCATGGACCAGGACAAACTTGGTATCGATGGATTCGTGATAATCTCAGGAATGAGAAGCTGCCACTGTTTTTCGTATAGCGTGATGACACTGGTGTTAGAGGATTGTTATTGACTTGGTTAGATATTTTAAGCCTATTTTAAATTTCTTTATATTTGATCTTGAAAACGGACAATCTTATAATTTGGCTGATAATGCAGGGATTATAAAATTTAGAGTACATTACATTCACAGAGAGAACCTGGTTTATTTCATGTCATATGTATTTAATATATCAATACATATCAGCAAAGCTTAACATCATGGACCATGACAGACATGACTGAAGAGCAGATGAAGATATCATGCCAGGCACTGATGAGAAAACATTACAAGGATCTCACAGCTGAATTTGAGAATGAGATGCTACACCTGAGAACAATATATGGTGCCACATTTCCACATATTCGGTCTCCTCTTGAGCTGCTTAATGCCATCTATACAGGATGCAATTACAGAGCATTTTTGGAGAAGTTTGTATTGGACTGAGGATATTTTGCACACTACCTGTGACTGTTGCTGGGGGTGAGCGGGCTTTTAAGCAAACTGAAACTGGTGAAAAATTATTTGAGATCAACAATGTCCCAGGATAGACTGAACAGCCTAGCTCTTCTTTTTATTGAAAGCCAAATAGCCAAAGGATTGGACTTTAAAGATCTCATAAGCGATTTTGCTAACATGAAGACCCGTCAGTGGGCATTTACTGGAAAATAAATTCCAGGATTTTTGTTTGAACACATTGTTGGCAAATAAAAATAATTATGTGTGAAGTCTGGGCATTTCACTTTTATTATGCTGGCATTTGTATTTGCTCAATATAGAGGTTAAACTAAGATCATATTTACTATCTTGTCTTATAGCATGACAAAAAATGTGTAAGAGAGATTTTTAATTGAGCATGGGGGCCCACCTAGAAGACTTGTACCCAGGGCCCAGAATTTGGTGCTACGCCCCTGTCTGTATCAGTGTAGTTGTGTACTTTGAGTAATGCCATCCATACAGTACTGTACAGTACAGTAATATGTACTTTTTCTTGCAGAGAATGCTCGCCATGGATGGAGCTGCTCAGCCTCATGAGTGTATTTACATCGATGAGGCTGGATTCAATCTGACAAAAAACAGACGACGGGGGCGTAATCTTATTGGCCGAAGGGCAATTGTGAACGTCCCTGGGCAACGTGGAGGAAATATTACATTGTGTGCTGCCAGTAGCCTTCAAGGGCTACTGCTCCGTCATGCCAAATTGGGGCCCTACAATTCACAGGAAATACTCACATTTCTTGATGGTCTACATGACATCGTCATACAGAATAGACCAGAGCAGCCCAGGTTTGTTGTTGTGTGGGATGATGTTAGTTTCCACCGGGCTGCTCTGGTCCAAGACTGGTTTACTCATCATGAAGGATTTGAAGTGGTGTACTTGCCCCCTTACTCCCCATTTTTGAATCCTATAGAGGAGTTCTTTTCAGCATGGAGATGGCGCGTATATGACCGCCAACCCCACGCCTGAATGCCACTTTCACTAGCAATGGAACAGGCCTGCGGAGATATTGAAATCAGGTCAATTCATGGATGGATTAGACACACAAGGGAATTTTTGCCCCGATGTTTAGCCGGAGAAGATATTGCTTGCGATGTGGACGAGGTCCTGTGGCCCGACCCCGACAGACGGCAGGATCCAAACATGTAACTTCTTTTGTGTGAAGTTCAGTTTGTTTTATTTTTGCTTTACAGTAACTGAATTTCCTGTCATATGAATTTCACTACTGTAATGTAATTGCAGTAATGTTGATTTCAGTATTTTATTTTTGGAATTATGAGAAACATCTGGAATTGTAACTGAATAAATACAGTACAAGTGAAAGACTGCAGTGTTTTATTTAAAGTAGACTAGTGTGTTGTTGCAGATATGAGAGTGTATTGACATGTGGAAGTGGGCATCATTTAGTCATCAAAGTGAGGTTTTGACAAAGGATTGTTCAGTTTTGATGGCAGAGTTTGTATCTGGCATAGATGTGAATGGTTTATTTCCCAGTGTTCTTCCGTACTTGTGTGTGGAGTTTTGGCACCATGAGCCAAGTTTTGCAAAGTGTGTTCAAGCAATTGACTAAAGCTGTAATAAAACAGCTGTGGTATATATACATAATAAAATAACATAGTCGTCAGCCAGAAGAGCCCACACTAGAGCAGCAGACGTGTGTGGGACTGGTTTCTGATGAAAGAACTCACGCTCATGCTCCATCTTAAGGCCTTAAGGTGGTCTGATGAGGGTTTGTGACAATTTTCTATCTTTGAATTTTAGGAACAGGTCACATGCATGTGTGTGTGTGTGTGTGTGTATGTGCGTGTGTGTGTGTGTGTGTGTGTGAGCGTGTGTGTGCGCGCGTGTGTGTGTGTGTATGTGCGTGTGTGTGTGTGTGTGTGTGCGCGTGTGTGTGTGTGTGTATGTGCGTGTGTGTGTGTGTGTGTGTGTATGTGCGTGTGTGTGTGTGTGTGTGTGTGTGTGTGCGCATGCGTGTGTGTGAGCGTGTGTGTGCGTGCGTGTGTGTGTGTATGTGCGCGTGTGTGTGTGTGTGTGTGCGTGCGTGTGTGTGTGTGTATGTGCGCGTGTGTGTGTGTGTGTGTGTGTGTGTGTATGTGCGCATGTGTGTGTGTGTGTATGTGCGCGTGTGTGTTTGTGTGCGCGCGTGTGTGTGTGTGTATGTGCGCGTGTGTGTGTGTATGTGCGCGTGTGTGTGTGTGCGTGTGTGTGTGTGCGTGTGTGTGCGTGTGTGTGTGTGTGTGTGCTGGGTGAGACATGTGAGGAAGCGTCTGTCTCAGAGGAGTGTGTAGACACTGTAATTGGTAGAATAGAATTACCGAGTGAGTCTGAACTGTGGGAAAACACGCAGACCTAGAAGACCAAAGTGTGTCTACGCTTGCAGCCGGTGAGGATGTTCATCTGGTGAACTCTAACTCGCTCTCTGCAGACCTGCCTTTCTGGTCATCAGGGTTACCGTGGTGATGAAGCAAGGCTTGCTTTGGTGGCCTATAATTTCTGGAGGGGCTGTCTGGTAGTGACATGTCCTTTTCAGCTGCTGTATTGTTTTGGTTCTGATTTACATCCCCCCCCACCACCACCACCACCACACACACACATACACACACACATACAGCTACAGCTGGGGAGTTTTCAGAGACCAGTGAATTTGAAAGCTAAATGACAACCAAACTGGAGTTTTGTTGGAGGCTTTGACTGAATTTTCTCACCGACACTATCTCATATATTCATGGTATTTCTGACACTCTTGTTTTTCCTCATGCATCATCTGTTTGTGTGTGTCCTCCCCAGAAAGCCCCTCCTACTTCCCTCTCATAGGCGTTGCTACAACACACCAGAAGCCAATCACAAGTCAGCCCTTTTCCTCATCCCTTCGTGGTCAGCCTGTTGTTTTCACAAGTTCCTTTTTTCTTTTTCACGTTTTTCTCCTACCCCTCACTGAGCCACTCAGTCCTGGTGCAGAAAGATTTTAGTTGGGGGGAGGACAAGCAAGCAGCAGAGAGAGGGAGCAGGAGGAAGCCATGCAGAGAGTGAAGCAGCCCAGCAATGATGCTTGATGAGCCTGATCACTGAACACCACAAGAACTTTCACTTTTCCTGATTTCCAGAGGGACCAAGGAATCAGACAGGAGGAGACACTGAGTCATTGTCTCAGTCGACATCAAACGTAGAGTCCAGGACGTGGAAAAGAAGAAAAGAGAGAAGGAGAAGGGCACAAATGCAAGTTGAAGCAGTGAGGCAGGAGACGCTCTTATAGGCCTAACAGAGAAGAAGGTGAAGCGAGCCACAGCACAAAGAAAAAGGACCACTTTCCAGAGTCACCTCCTCTAAGACCCCAATCAGACAGAAACAGGAAGAGAGAATGGCTAGTTCAGGTCTCCAGTTGTTGGGTTACTTTCTAGCATTGGGTGGCTGGATTGGGATCATCTCCACAACAGCACTGCCTCAATGGAAGCAGTCGTCCTACGCCGGCGATGCCATCATCACCGCCGTGGGTCTTTATGAGGGGCTGTGGATGAGCTGCGCTTCACAGAGTACGGGTCAGGTGCAGTGCAAGATCTTTGACTCCATGCTCTCACTGGACAGTAAGTGTTTACACACACACACACACACACACACACTGGATGTGTTGGTCTTGGACCGTGTTGCGGAGCGGCTCTGAGGAGATCCACTAAATCCTTTCTCCTTTAATCAAAACTCAACGAGCCACAGATCTGCTCTCGCTACCCTGACCTTTGGCCTGCTGCTTTATGGCTGCGCTCGTTTTTTGTGCTGTCTTTACTGAAGCTTCGCTGAGGTCTTCTGTCTGACCAATCATAACAGTTCGTGTCCCCACACTCCCTGGATGATAAATGCTGTCTTAAGCTTCAGAGGTTCCCAAGCTGTAAATCTGCTCTTGGAATGAACGAGAAGTGGGAGAGGGTGAGGAATGTGGGGTTCAACATTAAATAGTTCCTGTCATCTTCAATCAGTAGGCAGGATCCACAGACTCATAATTAATTTGAGTCCAGCTATGTACAATATCTGCATAAATCACCCAAGGGGGGGGGGGGGGGGGGGGGGGGGGTTTGCAAAACAAATAGTTTCTCTGTGGTGTCATTAGCTGTGAGAGGTTTGTGTGCGAGTCGGATCGGAGGAACCAGAGCTCATCTCCATCCCCGTTGGTCCTCTGCAGCTGTAAGAACAGAGTATTGTCCTCCTGCATCAATAGGCGCTGTGAGGGGAAGAAAGGGGCAGTGTTGAGCCAAACACCAGAGATATTCCCACAATGCTCCCTGCCTTCCCCACACACACACATTGTTCCAGTTGCTCATTAACACGCCCAGTGTCTGAAGACCATCACGCCTCACCATGACCCGGCACTCTTGGTCCATCACATGTTCACCACTCAGGTGTTCACCAGGAGAGCCAGAGAAGCTGCAGGAGCTCGTCTCCTCTGGACGAGTTCACAGCAGCAGCAGCATGTGACGCGGGTGTAATTGTTCACCAGACTGCGTCGGCTCTGCTGCTGCTGCCGAGTGAAACCGCAGAAACGTGTAGGTTTAGTCAATCTGCTGTTAAGAAGAGGATGTCAGCGAGGGGGTGGTCAGCTGTTGTTGGAGGGAGGTTCTGAAAGGACAGCTCTGTGGTCATGTGTGACGAAACTGACCTAGCAACTGATGACTCGACTCAAAAACAATTTATAAATAAGTGATTCAGAAGTATGAGGGAAAGCAAACCCATGCCTTTAGTCTGTGAGCTGTTTTCTAGTGTTTGTGAGGGTCAAACAGCAACAGTATGGGCTGGACTTCCTGTTGGTGCTTCGTGGAGCCAGTCAGAACCCAGAGGAGGTTTAACTAAAGAGAACCTGGTTCCGCTGCAGGCTGGTGGTTCATAATGAGACCTTACGCTTCCTTCACACAGGATGTGTGCTGAACATCTCTGGATGTCCACTTCCACAACAACAGAAATGTGATATAATAAGTGTGAAAATATAAAAAGATGAAGTAACCGATGTCCTTGTAATTAACATGTGGAGCTAAAGCCTGTATAAACTGGTTTTATTCTCACGGAAACACGCCTCACCACGTTATAATTTTGAAGTTTTCTTTAAGCCATGTGCATTTTTTTCCTGCGAAAGGAGCGATATTAATAATCTTTACTTAGTTACATCCCCTTTCCAACAAGCCAAAAGCCCCAGTGCCACAGACTGAAGCCCAACCCCCACATGACTTTGGGAGGATTCCTACAGTGGATGAAGACCTTAGAAAATATCATCAAAAGGAGCTCTGGAGCCATGAATAACACTTCAAACAGCACCTTCTTCTTTCTCTTCTTGCCACCATAACACCCTTCAGATCAGCTCCTGAAAGTTGGGTTTGTGTGTTTCTGTCACAAGCACACCGTTCTCTCATTCACTCACAGCTGACTAACCAACTGACTTCTACTCCTCCAGCTGGCCTGTTGCACTCTTTCTGCCTTTCGGGCCAAACGTCTAAATATTTCTTCTGAAGCTGTGAAACTGCAGGACGTGTTGGTCCTTATCATGCACAAAGAGCCCTTCACACATTCACTTGCCTTTGCAGCATAACGTGTTGTTGCGCTATGGTGGAGATGGCCCCGTGAAAACAATCTGTCCTTGTAGCAAAGCCACAGAGATTCTACTGTGGAGACGTAAAACAGACCCTCCTACAGCTGCTCAGCTTCCACCTACGGTTGCTGCTTGCACACGGACATTGTGCATGTATGTGTGTGTGTGATTATGTGTAAATATGTTCCTCCTACTGAGTTATGTGTGTGTTGAAGCATGTGTGGGCAATGCATTGGAATTTTTGAGAAGGCAAAGACTCGAGGGGACGAAGTGAAGAAGACGCAGAGGATCATTTAAGGTCCACGAGCCTAGTGTCACCTCTGGAAAAGCTGCAGCTCTGAGAAGTGGGGTAGTGGTGGACCTTCTTCCTTAATGAGTGGTTTTAAGTGCATGTGGTCTTCCATCGGTCTGCCTACATCACCATTCCCTTGTAATTATGTCTTTAATGTCCAGAAGTTTCTACGAGGGGCTGAAAGAATGTTTGTTTTCTCATCTCCTCAGCACTCTTCTTTTCTTTTCCTTTCTTTTCTTTTCTATCTGTACTTGCATCGCCCACCATCCCCTTCCCCTCGCATTCCCGTCTCCTCATTTCCTCTCTTTTATCTAGTTCACATCCAGACATGCCGGGCTCTCATGGTGATATCAGTGCTGCTGGGCTTTATTGGCATCATTGTCAGTGTGGTGGGCATGAAATGCACCAAGGTAGGAGATAACAACCCGTCCACCAAGACCCGCATCGCTGTCACTGGAGGGGCGCTCTTCCTGCTCGCAGGTGGGAATTCTCATCATTCGCCGTGATTTCTTTTTACATGCTGTTTATTCATTCAGTGGCTCCGTTTATTGGTATTTTTTTTTTACAAAAAATCTGAAACTTGATGTAGCTGAGAGTCCTGCTGGGGAGTAAATGTCTCTGCTGTAAACAGGAAGTGGTCATTTTAGCCACTGACCTCAAGCATAAATCAGACCCGACCTCAGAGGAGAGGATGAACCAAACAAGAGTCAACACCATTCCATCTGATGGACGCTTACTGGTGATCCTGCTCTCCACAGGTCTGTGCACACTGGTGTCTGTGTCCTGGTACGCCACTCAGGTGTCCTATCAGTTCTTCAACCCAAACACACCGCTCAACGCCAGGTACGTCCCTCAATCAAAACCCATCGTTGCTCCAACATTTAGAGCTTAACCCCACCCCCGGGTGGAGCCGTCCTGCAGCAAGATCCCACCGGAGCGTGACCAAATGCTGCTGCTGCGTGGGGCTGGTGCTAAACATCCCATAATAACCATGTTGTTGAGCTGGGATCTAAAACTCGAGTTATTTTAAAAGTTTAATTTTATTTATGCGTCATAGAAAAACACAAAGTGATTAAAAACAAACAAGTTTTACTTTTGTGTATTTGAAGCAGTACGGCTCTAACGGCCCGCCACACCAGTTATTACATCCTTACAGGTAATAATAATGTTTCTGTTGAATTTTTATCTGAATATTTTCCAAATGTAACTCTAACAATGGAATGAATGATAATTGTAAATACATGTTTCTGTCCGGGTTCAGAGTGCCTTTATGAATATGATTATTTACACGTGGTTTACTGAGGGACCAGCAGCCAGCCACAGAGCAAAACAAGCACATGGACACAATACTTTAAAATGATCGTTAGCATGTAGAGCGTTAGTCTGGAACCAGGCTCCCCTCCAGGTCTGGATCATATGTCTGAAGCTGCTGGAAGGTTCTGGTGAGAGGATCATTAGAGGCTCTTTAAGTGCTACCATGAAATAACTGTAGTTTGTTATATCGTCTCAGTGACCTGAGATAGTAAAGTAAAACAAACGGTCACCCTGTTCCTAAGCTGTTCCTCCCTCCTTCCTGCTCAGGTACGAGTTTGGCTCCGCCCTCTTTGTGGGCTGGGCTGCAGCTAGTCTGACGGTTCTGGGCGGCTCCTTGCTGTGCTGCTCCTGCTCCAAAGATGAGATGCGTGGGCAGCAGTATTATCGCCAATCACAGCCTTCCACAGCCAGGGAGTACGTGTAACCCCCCCCCCCCCCCCCCCCCCCTGCACTCACCCAATCAGAGAGCATAGGACACCCTGGCCCTTTGCTTTTCCTCAAGCAGCTAAAACAAAACAAAGACTCTAAACCTAATTTATATTTCCCAGTCTGTGTCGGTACGGAGACACGCAACGCCACCATGTATCGGCACAAGTGCAAGTGCCGGGAGACGTGCCCAAATTTTTTACTAGCCATCAAAAGTGACAAAGACGGCAAGCCTGTGATTGGTCAGGGCGCTGTTTCGTGTAGGTTTTGCAACAATCCCCAGCTGACGGAGAAGTCTGAGATCAAAATGTCTCCGTCGATGCGTGCTCGTCTCTCCCTCACAGAGCTGAGTGTAAATTAGGCTTAGTATAAACACAGTGTCTGATAGACAACATCTCCCCGGTGTCTGCCGATGAGACGGATGCCAACCTGACCTCCTTTCTTGGTTGCTGAACTTTCTGTCCTCAAGATCCAAGAAAGGAAGTCCACGTCTGACCTGGATGAGAGAGAACTGACATTTCTTCATGAAAAATAACATGAACTCACTGATTCCTCCAGCTCGTAGATGGAATGTGGGTTTGGACTTTCCCAGGCTGTCCTGTGCTTCCCGGTTGGAGCCGCGTTGGTGTTTGATTCCATGTTTGTGCTTTTATGCTCCACTTGTGCAGTTGGGTTTGTGTGAAGTCAGAAACCTGAAATCCTTTGTCAAAGCTAAGAGACTATTGTTTTTCCCATTTTTTATGTAATTGTGTACATTATTCATATAACTTTAGTCTCCAAAATGGAATCTTTCACATGTCGTTTGACTCGTCTTCACCTCACCAGACCCAGTCACTGCTGAGACATGATGTGAACTGCAGGAGTGGACATGAACTGTTACATGGAGATGTTCTAGCCTCTAATGAGTGTGGAAGCTGTTAGCAAGAGGCTTTACATAAACAAACACCACTGTTTCATCCACTAACGGCACAATCTTTGGTTTACATGTTGCTTCAGTTTATAATCTAAGCTATTTGACGGACTGGAGATGCAAGTCTTCCTGAGCACCATCAGCTACATCCTAGAGCACAACACCATCCCTCCATAAGCTAACATTAGTCCTGCAACTAAACGCTAGAAAGATTAAAATACCTTTGCCACAGTTTCCGGTTGATGGAGCACAATATTTAGTGAAACACCGCCTCTCTGCACATGAACTCACATACTTAACTGCAGCTTTCCCTGTAGAGGATGTGAGGCTGGACTGCAGAACTAAATTGGCTCTTGAGTTTCCTCTTGGTGCTCCCTAATCACTTTGCCCTCATTTATGTTTGTAAAAGGACCAGTCCATCACTGTTCCAGATAATGAAGCCATTAACTTCTCTCAGAATAAGCCCCCAGGTGCCCCAATTCTTGTTTCTACAGCCACTCTTCCTAGAAGACTCTTGTTTGTGGAGAGCTTCATTCTTCTGTGAATGCTGGAAGTTGTAGTTCTGGAAAGTCTTTTTAGCCATAAAATAAAATGTGCAGGACCAGCTGAGTGCACGTGTCCAACAGCAGACTCTTAAAACAATAGTTGGGAGAGTTAAAACTTTGATTATTTTACACAGGACTTACAGATCCATACCTCTTGCTCACTCCTCTGTAGAGCTGTTAGAACAGCGCCATGGAGGCAGAGAAGTTACTCACTTGTTCTCCAAACTGAATGTGGAAGCAGATTTGAGTGGTTGTCCTCTCTCACCAGCAGCTGTCGTAGTCTGACTCCAGGACTAACGTTCATGTAACCTGAACACTCCTGTCCAGACACCTCCGTCCTGCTTGTCCTGCTGCAGCTCTAACGTGTGTCTCTAGTAGTCCCAGAGGTTCTAATATGTCCCTCACGTTCCTTCCTTTTGTCCACCCTGTTCTTCTCTGACTCTCTTCTTTTCTCCTCTAATCTAGGGCAGAGTTGTTGAGTGAAACTAGTTTTCCTGACTGATCAGCCCCCGTCTTTTTATCGAGGACTGTCCAACTGTTCAACCACTGACACCCCCACCCCCCACCCCCACCCCGACATCTCTGCTATCCAGTCGGAGCTAAAGCAGATGATTACTTTTCCGATATCTACACCTTGTCCTTTCTAATGAGAATCAGAACGTAGTCTCCCCTGCCGTAAACATTGACTCAATTTCATCAGAGAGTCAGACGTTGACCCTACAACACCCCTCTAGTGTCGTCCCATTGGCTGTTGTATTGATTTGTGCTGTCATCTCAGACCTCTGGGCATCATAACTGTGGTTTTGTTGGATTGATTTTGTTATTGTGACTGTAACGTGACTGAATTGTTGTTTTTTCCTTTGAATTGCAGACCAAATGTTAAAAGTACCCCACCAGAGAAAAGGGAGCAGTACTTGTAGTTTGGGAGTCTTCTGGCCTTACCATGGTTTAGATTCTGTCAACGGGTGAAAGCCTCTCAATGGGGAATACAAAACAGACAGAAATTATTTCATGAACTGCTCAAAAGGTTTTTCAAGCAGAAAAATCCAACATTCTTTGGCAGTTTTCCTGAGTAAGACAATAACCTTGTCTGTGTTGTTGACTTTGAGAGAGACAGTCATTCAGGGTATGGTGTATATATATCACCTTTTCTATTCATTTTTATTTACTACATACATAATGTTTTACTACATTTCCTTGTAACACGTTTGTATTTGATGTTATAGATTTTTGTCTAAAGCCTCATCGATCTTCTGTTAGACTTTTTAATTGTTGATGAGTGAATGTGAAACAACTCTGTAGTGTAAAACACACACACACACACACACACACACACACCGTGCGATATGCCACTGTTTATAAAAAGCTGTGCCAGGTCCTCAGTAACCTGGACGAAGGACGGAGCAGTATTTGATTAGGAAGGGTTGTGACCAGCAGCAGGAAGTGTGTGGATGACAGACATGTTTGATGTTTGACTCTAGAGGACGGGCTGCATTCTGTACTAAGGAACTCCAGTTTGACGCCTGCAGCTATTCATAATGCCTTTCCGTTCTTCTAACCTGTACCTGCTCAGTGTTGTGTACCACCTCATTTACAGTTACCCATGTCTGCTTCTTGTAGAATGAAGTAAACAAAGAATGAAAGATTTTGTATCTGAGTCATCTTTTGTCAGTTGTTTCTTAGCTTTTTTTCCATCACCAGACTGTTTGCTGACTCTCCCCCACCTTCATTCTTTCCACTTCAGTCCTTGTTTTGCACCCTGTTGTTCGGTAATTGCAGACGTGAAATTCCACTTCTGCCCGACTGGACTGCAGCACAATCTCAGAGGGGAGCTCACAAGGGTCACTTGCTAACAGGATGCTCCTCTTTCTTCCTGAGTTCCCAAAAGTTAAACATTTAAGAGATTTTCTGACTATTCTGAGGTGTGTTTCTGGGAAAAACTCATAAAAATGTCCTATCTTACCTGTTATGGGAGGCCTCTTTTAGGACAAAAGCCTGTGTCTGACAGGACAAGTGAGCTAAAGTCTGATTGTTCAACTAAACTCCATAGTGGTTCATGCATCTTAAGCTTATGAACTTTTACCTAGCTATATTTCAAATAACACTTCTGTCAATGGAAGTGTTAAGAGCTTCCTGTTGGACCTGACCCCTGGACGTTGTGTGAATGATACTCACCTAAAGGATTATCAGGAACACCACACTAATACGATGTTTGACCCCCTTTCTCCTTCAGAACTGCCTTAATTCTAAGTGATGTTGATTCAACAAGGTGCTGAAAGCATTCTTTAGAACATGGTGGTCATGTCTTTCAAGACATGACATGTTTTACATGAGCTAGCTAACCACAGGTCCTACTTGATGAAATGATCTTCACTTCAACATGAATTTTAATTCTATGAACAACAACATCTCCTTCATTTAGACAAAAACATGTTTAGGAGAAAGAAAGAAAAAGACTTGCAGCACAACCAGTGTGTTTGCTTCTGACCACAACCAAAGTCTGGAAGAAGCCTCTGGGATGAGAGTTAAACATCTCCAACATAACCAGAAACGTCCAGCTGTTTTTAATTAAAACCATCAGGATGACCGTGAACCTACACCTACATGCTGCAGCAGTGATTCAGTCAGAAGAGAAAAATATGCCATCCAGGTCATGGTAATCCAAAGGGCTCAAATGAAGGCAACTGGACTTCTTTGGCTTCTTCAAGACGTTTCACTTCTCTTCCGAGGAGCTTTGGTAATTCGAACTGGAATATGGGAGAGTCACGGTTATAAGCTGTAGCTGTCACTAGCTTCAGTTTGGGTGTTTTGTCTTTTGGATGGACCGGTTTCTGTCTGAGGGTGTTGTTGGGTTTGAAGTTTACCAGGAAGTTGTGTTTGGAGAATACTCTTTTAAGTTTCTCTGAGACTCCTCCTTTTGTCCTCTGATTTAAGGAATCATCTTGTTCCAGCCGTTTCCTAACTGCTTCCACTGCTTCATCTGTGCGTATACAGTGATCCCTCGTTTATCGCGGTAGATGCGTTCCAGACCTGGCCGCGATAGGTCAAAATCCGTGAAGTAGGGACACCATATTTACAGTACAGTACTATATTGAATTATCGTATGATCACATTCTCTTTTACGGGTAAAACTCAAGAAAAAAATTTTTTTACTTGTTTTTTTTATAGTTTTATTACAAAAAGTGCATTTTATGATGAAATTGATGGGAAAAAACAGGAATTTCTTGATATTTCGCATAGAAAAATACTGTGAATCGGCGAATTTCCCTTGAATAAGGCTCCAAAGAAAAAATCCGCGAAGTCGTGAATCCACGATAAACGAACCGCGAAGTAGCGAGGGATCGCTGTACATGTGAAGAGTAAAGTCACATCAGATGAGATGTAAGTTTCCCCTGGGGACAGTTTGAGATCTTGAACTTTCTTTGGAAATCCACCATATTCTGTATGTGATGTTGGCTCTTTCTAACCAGCGGGGCCAGGATAGTGGAGAGGTGTTTTGCAATGTTGTACGTGGCAGAGTGGATGCTGCTGATGATGGGTCTGAGTGGTGTTCCTTCCTTGTGAATCCTCGGAGAAATTACTCTGAGAAACATAAAGACTTTCAGAGCAGCCACAAGTTTCTTTTTAACAGCATACTTTCCACCACGCTTGTTCAACTTATCTGTTTTGGTGGTTCGAGAGCAACATCCACATGCATTAAACCTGCATTAAACTCCCGCCTCCTGGTCTGATGCCAGCCAAGGCTTTCTCCACGCAGTTTATGCAAGATTTAAACTCGAAACAGGAAACAGTAAAAAATGCGGGACTCTCTGGACCTCAACCTAAAAAGTGTGAGTGGATCATGAGAACTGGCCTCCAATCTTTCAGCAAAATACCTGATAGCCTGCCTAACCACTTCCTGGTAATTAAATAGTTACTGTTTGTACATATCATGAGAGACATGTAGTTTATCTGTTTCCATTTTCATTTAGCTCTCCTACAGTCCTGCCTACAGACCACAAAATATAAAACATATACTAAGCAAAACCAATAAATATAAGACATGTAAAAATAAAAACATAAAATATTAAACATATAAACTATTAAACCAAATGTAAGATGACATTTTCAAAGTGAATTTCAGAAGTCTGAATGTAAGTGAATGCAGCACAGCACAACACACAATGCTCTCCATCCTCATTGGCCCAGGAAGGCATCAGGTGACAATGAGAGGACAATAAACATCCAGTAAGTAAAATTAAGTTTAAAGGAGCATGGGGCAGGATGAAGAAAAGAAACTCATTAGCGACGCACTCGGCGCTGTGAGTAACTGCAGCCCGGCACGAGAGCGCGCACAAACTCTTCACTAGAAAAAAAAAGTTACAGTGATGTACGGCCAGAGCGCGGCTCGAACAAGGCACCGTGTCGAGCGATGAAGTAAGTAACATTGTTACTTTAGTCTAATATTTGTAAAATTCCATGACAACATTAGCATTTTAATTTAGCCATGACACTCGTGATGTAAAGCAAGTGCTCCTTCCTATGAAATATTCATAAGCCAGTTTTGTGACAGGCGAGCAAGACAGTAACATGATGCTACTTTATTAGCATAAGGCTTTGTGGCTGCAGGTGATTTCTGATGTTTTTAGACCAATTACAGTTATTATTTTGCACCAAGCTTACTAACAAGCTAATGTTATTGTTTATACATCATGTAAGAACATCCAATTTCAAGTCACTGACATCATTTGTGAAACCAATTTCATTACAGGACAGGCATCACAACAATGTAAATAAGAACATAAATATCAATGTTTAGTTCAAAAAATTGCATCAAAATAAAATCATAATATCAACAAGACCTACAGGGTAATACAGTCATTTTTATCATTACTGTCACTGATTTTCAGGAATTCACATTGGAAGGAAAGGGCAGTACTGGAAAGGGGAGAGGAAAAGGTCGCTCCGAGGGTCGGAGAAGGACACGCTCAAGGGGTGAGGGCAGCAGGATGAGGTCCAGAGCTCCTTCGAGAAGACCAGGGCGCCGGGGTAGGCAGCGAACAGCTTTCAGAGAAGAGGGCCGAGACCGGCTTGCACAGCTGAGAGCTGCCAGTATAGCTGAGATGCAGGTTGGTTGTAGCCATTTGTCTAAAAAAATAAAATAAAATAATAGATGCCAAAAACGAAAACATCACTCACTGGAGACATGAATCTAGTCATGTAAACATATGCTCTTTAATTTCTAGACAGCTTTACAACACCTGAGCCAGGAGGAGAGAGATTATATTCTCGAGAGAGTGGTGACCCGTCTTCCAGGGGTGATGCTGGATATCCTGGAGTTTCAGCAAGAGACGCCAGGACACCGTCTTCCTGACTGAGGGCACCCTAACCCAAAAATCCAAACTGTTTATCTACAACTACAGTAGTTCCAAAACAGCACAATACCTCAAAATAACTTTAGCTGAAGACAGCATTTTCACCCAAAAATAAACAAACAGTTTGTGCAATATATTTATTTTTATTTATGTACAAAAAAGTTCTGTTATTTGCATTTGTACATAGTATTTTTTCTTAATTTCTAATAAATCTGTGTGCATGAAAGAAGTCATTCCTGTCTTTTGATGCTTCACGTAGCTGGGGCCTTTATGGAGAGAGGAGAACAGCAGCATTAGATCATACATAGATTACATGAGAACGCAATTCTGGAAACTCTCCAGTTCTGAAGTTGACCTGTAAAAAAAACAAAAGCTACAACTTTATAGATTATTAGGAATCACACTTTTGATTGCCTTTTCACCCACAATTGTCATTTCTATATGTAAATTGTCAGCTTTGATATTGACAATTTAGCTTTTTTGCTTATGAAAATGTTATTAATATACCTAAAGGTCAGATACTTGGTGACTTCCTTCAACTAGCGTCTGTTGAACATGATTCGTTGAAGAGTCTTGTGTGGTGGAGATCATGGTACCATGAGCTCTTTATCACCAACAGAAACACGAGAGCTGGCACTATTATGAAAAGAAAGGTAATTATGTCAATGTGCATTGTTGTCTTGTTGTCCAAAAGATGTCACAATACTTACATTAAACATATCACGATGTTGTGCTTTCTGGCAAATGTACCAAAATTGGTTGACGATGTCCTTCAGCCACACAAGTAGGATGGAAATTCCCTTTAGGATCCCAGCCTGTGAACAAGGATAAAACAACAATTCCATCTTTTAGTTCTTTTTAAAACATAGAAGGGTTTTATTTACCTGCAACGTTTTGTTTGCGGCTGCAAACTTCGTCAGCCTGACAAAGTTTTCATAACAGTTCTATTCTGTTATGAAAACAATAAATAAAAGTAGAATTAATATATTGTTTTAAGACTTTGGAGTTTTAAAAAAGAGTGTAGATAAGAAGACATTGCAACTCACACACTGTTGAGTAAGTTGTTTGCTTGGTCCTCATCAATTTGGACTGCATCCGTAGCTAGATCCATGGATTTGAAACTACAGACAACACAGTAATATTTGTTGTACGTAAAGATAAATACTGGAACTTACCTGAAATGGTACTGATTCTAAAGAGATAAATGTGGAGCCTAATACATCTGTCATTAATTATTTCTGCAAATAACAACAATCTGCCGTGAATTGACACTTCACAACATAAATAAATATATATATAATGACCTATATTTGCTTATCTATTGTGTTTTTATCTTTTTTGCACATAGTACAGCAGTAATTTCCTGCATATATGGCAAGACTTCTCATGAACAAATTTACCTTTCTTCAAAAGGATCCAAATCTAGGTCATCAGCTAAGGCCTCAACACCAGCCATTAGAAAATCTTCCCTGTAAAGATAATGTCAGAAGTGTTTGGTGGTGTGATGTTAGTTCTGAACCAAATGTGGATATGCAAGGTGTAATTTAATGTATGAAATATCATATCACAAAAACGTGAATATTTGTTTTACAGAAAAGATACTAACCCCTCAGACACTGGTTCAGTTGAAGATAATCGATGCAACATTTTAGCTGCTGTTCTCTTACTGGGTGTCGAGGTTGACTACACATAACCTCCCTGAATTGCAGTTTCAGGAGCCTGCTTCTTCCGGTAGCTGGAAAACACATTTTTAAACAAAAATGTCAACAAGTTGGTTGAGACTCTACACCTTCTGTTTACATAGATCAATAATGGCTAAGCTTCTTTACCTGTGGCACAACTAGTAATATGAAAATGCATGTCAGTTATAAAAAAAATTTATTTATCATTTTCACAAACATATTTTATTCTGACCTACATTCAACAGGACAAATTTAGAAAAATAAACACAAACTTCTGCACAACTTTACTTTTAGTAAAACATGTAGTAATGGCTGACTAGTTATTTACTCTTTTGTAGCACAGCAATAACGTTAGGAAAAGATATTCTGATGGGGTTCTGTTACACAAACCCCACGAATAACATTATCTACTGAAGTAACAGTCCTGCTTAGAGGTTGGACTGTAGATCAAATATGACATAATTCTAAAGACTCATCTTTGGTTTGGAAAATGTCCGTTCTCTTCTGTGGTACATACAAACTGAAGCGTGATCACAGCTAACATGCTACCGCACGCTAGCTCTCTCTGACTGATCGGTGATGTCATATAATCAAATCAAGCTCTGTTTGCGTTTCTCGTCAGAGTAAACGGAGCATCCATTTCTCTCCAAACACAAGCGGTGTGTCGTCCACAAAACATAGAAGAGATCCGATTACTCCTTAGTTACTTTTAGCTTTTTCAAACTGATCAGGAAGCCATATGCTAAACACCGTTAGCTTACATAAGTTTCTTGTTCATCTGCACAAAGATTTGTTAGATTACCTAAATCAGTATTATCTAAATCCATAGGTTTTATTTTCTTTTCTTAAATTGTGGAGAAACAGCTCTGATATGTTTACCTACTCGTTACTGAAACCTACAGCAGACATAAGGAGACCAGCTAATACAACACTTACCTCGTCACTAGAAAATGCGCCATGTCCGCATCTTTTTCAGGCCCAAATTGAGTTGAACCAGCCTCATTCTTCCAGAGCGTACCCAATACATATTCGGGTCCCTGACCGACTTTTATATTTTCTTTTTGACTCTCGAGATGCCGCTGATAAAACCTTCTTCTTTGTGTCACTCTTTAGTGGGCTTTGCTGAATCCATTTCCAAGGTTCTTCCTCTTCTGTTTGAGGGTTTAACGTGGCTAGTAGTGAAAGACGCATTACCGCCACCTAGCAAGCTTCCAAATGTTTTTCCGGGTTTGAACCTTGTCGAGAACGCGCTTGAAGCGTCAATTAACGTCACATCCGTAAAACAGCGCGGGAAATTCGGATCAGGAATGTTTTGCATTTTGCAGCACACAGCCTGATTAACAAAATGGAATGATAAACTGGTTTCATCATTCTTTTTAGTTTAAAATGCTTCATCACCCATAAGCTTCACAAGAATGAACATGAATCCTATTTACTTCTTGCTTTTGGACAATTCCTGCCCCATGCTCCTTTAAGCTAAGTAAATGTAGGTGAAACGAGAATATTACAGAACATGTAATAATTATTGCTGCCTACCAGCTCAAGTGAACTGGGTGCAGCTAGCAAGAAATGTGGTTGCAGGTGAATACTTCAGTGACAAGGTGCCAGCCTGACCAAATTTTACCTTTTGAATATTGTTGAGTTTCATTGTGGATAGTGAGGTAGTTTGTTATTTTTTGTTTATTTTTACTTCCAAGCATCACAACAGCTGCAGCGCCATCAACCATAACCCCCAAATCTTGTTTATTTCTCTCTCCCTCACACACGTGCACACACACGCAAAGATGGACAAGAGTTCTGAACGGGCCTAAAAATTGAACCCGGATCCAAAATGTCCCAACAGACACGAAGTCCGAAACCAGCCCGGGTGCAAAGCTCTCTATCATAATGGAATGAGTGAAAGACACACGCATTTTCCTGACTTGCCACACACACATACACACTCACACACACACACACACTCGGTCTTGGACAGTGGAGAGAGATGAACACGCCTCAAATCAGACACCATGAACGCATCATTATTCCTCCAAAGTGGTAAAAAGCATCAAAACCCAGAACACGAGAGGTGTGTGTGATGCCTGGCAAGCTGTGTTCAGGCTTCGAGACCGTCGGGTCATTTCGGGTTTGGGTAGAATTTCTGGGCTTATTGAGTGACAGGGTTAGGGTTAGTAGAGCACTGGGTGAGAGAACAGAGATAAATGAAAACTGCTGTGTGATCATACAGAAGTTCTATGAACTTTATTCTATGAACTTTATTTTGTCTCATTACCCACAGAGATGTTGAACTGATGTTAAATATTGGGAGGAAGCTTTGGTTCATTTTAAGTTACAAGAGACGATTTTCCTGTTTGTAATGTTTGCTCAGAGACAAGAGTAGAAGTTTAAATGTTCCCACAGGACAGCTTATTGGACAGGTTTGCAGTTAGCTGGTTAGTTAGCGAGGCCCATAAGCTAGTTAAGGTGATTAAATCCTAATTCAGCCCACAGACACTTGCTGGTTTATTACCAACTATTTAGCTTTTGAAACACACTTCTTTCAGTTGGTATTTAAAATAATTGTAATTTAACAAAATGCACTAGAATGCAGGGAATGGCATCTTTGTCAACAGTTGTGTACACACACACACACATTGGGCTATCGGACTAAATCATGAAAAGTGGACTTCGCTTTCTGGCCATTAAAATAATAATAAATAGAAAATGTAATTTTAAGCGGTTTTACTATAATATAATTGAAAATGTAACTTATTATTTTTTAATAATTTGCCAAGAGGGGACTTGGATCTCTGAATGGTGTCTACCTATCAAAGTATGGACCTCCATATACTGCAGTTGAGTTAACTTTACACATTACTACTTTAGACTTTATTGGTCTCTTTCAAAAATGGAAACTTTAACTTTGGTATCATTGTTTAAACATGTTTCTACAAAACAAATATTACAAAAAGAAATAGTCCACATTTGAAAATAAATAATGGTTTGCATGTCATTGCAAAGTGTCATGGCTGCATGAACTAATACCATATCTGCATTTCTAAATATCTACTTTTTGACCATTGGAGTTCATCTAAAAGCAGATTGTTTATTTTTCCTCTGCAGGACACTGGGAAGAATCATTTGACCTGTTTAAATGACCAAACACTATGTTATACCTTTCTGTCAAACTTTGCCAACTACCGTTCATTTATACATCTATTACCATAATGTGGGCGTCACTCTTTACCATCTTACAGGGGACCAGTGTCATTGGTTTCAGGCAAACAGGGGACTTGAGTCATTCTGTACCGTATAAACAGGGATTACATTTTCTGAAAAAGTTGAGAAAACTGACCAGGACAAATTTACATCAACTTCCGGACCATGGGTCTCCAGAAGAACAAAAAAATGAATGCAAGTCAACTGGGCTAAAAACGCTATTTTCTAATTCCGCTTGCTTTGTGCCATGGGTTTCACATATGATGTCCGTGAATTTTAAAGACATATTTTGATAGCAAGAACGCGCTTATTTTCGAACTGCGAGAAGCACAATTTTAGGTTTTGTGTGAAAATAAGTCCAGGACTACAAATGCGCCTCACCAATGTGACGTCATCGAACCAGACACGGAGAAAACTGAGGGAAAAGGGCTGTAAGTTCAGCAAACTTCCGACAGGAGGAAAGAACCACCACAAATCTGGCCATTTAGCAGCTACGTTAGGGGAGAGGAGATTATGTGGTGACGTCACATATGCAACGTGCCAATTTTTGCTGTGTAGTCGTGCTAATTACGAACTTTTACAAGCTGATAAATCTCAAAGTACGTGACTGGTGTGGTCAAAACACCCATCGTTACTTTTCATTTAAATTGCAGTACAACATATGTGTGATCCAGGGCGTGAGGCAAAGGAGATGAAAAAATTGTGTTTTTAGCCCTGTTGACTTCCATTCATTTTTTTGTTCTTCAGGAGACCCATGAGCCGACTGGAAAGGGAGACTTAGGCTCCCTAATCGTCAGCTTGGTAGGCTCGCAGGGATGTTTCATTTAGCTGTAGGGGCCAGGGGAGGGACTTTGGAAAAAATGTTTATCTCATTCGCTGCCGGGGTTTCTCACCATTCTTACTGTTTTTTAAGAGTCACAGAACGTTGCGTGCTAGGATGATGTCGATGCCAAAACAACCAAAACAAAGCAGAGACTCACCGCTTACATCAGGAAGAATCTGCGCATTTCGAGCGTTATCCGTTCTTTCATAATCCGTTGTTGAATTGTGATCGGCAGAAGCTTTTCAAGTTCGCGCCTCACTTTTTTTACGGCAGCGGCCCAAAATGATCTCCTAACACATGGATTTTCTGCTTCCTTTTCACGTGACATGTGACGTACGCGGATGAAGATCAGCTGTAGAGTTGAGATGTTTGTTCTCACGGTGCGGGGGCTCGTTCCGATGCCCACACAGTAAAAACATGCAAATGACGACTTCAGTGAACGGTTGGGTTTAAAATGACGACTTAAGTCGTCAAGGGCAGTGAATGAGTTAATACGAAAGATTATTTTCTTTTCTCATAAAACAGGGTCAAATTTAAGCATTTTTAGTAATAAAACAATTCAAATTTATTTAAAAAAAATGAAGAATCATCAGCAATATTCGATGAGTCATTAGTTCCTGATTCAGTATTAACTGTCAGCCATTTCCTGATAGAAATAATTGGATGAATTACCAACCATTAAGTAGGCAATAAGTAATCATTAAAGAATAATTAGGTAATAAATCCACCATGGGGTGGTTGTGAAGCTTAGTTAATCATTAGTTAATCAATTAAATCCTGATTCGTTTATCATTACTTACTCATTAG